AAACCTGATTTTATAACTTTTCTTAGCAGCATAGTAACTGCCACAACCGTTTGTGGCCGGAGCTTCTACTGACTGCAGCTGAACACCGTGAAGCGCTCCAAACAGGAACAAACCATTCCATGCAGATCCAGGGGCGGCGGTTCAGGGCAAAAACAGATGTGTGTTTTTTGGTCTGGGAGGGGTAACATTAAAATTTTACTTCTAAAAACAATCTTTGAAAATACAATATGATTAATTTTGTATATGACAGGACCCCGACTTTTTAAATTTTATTTCTATGAACAAAATATAAATAATTAAATTGTGGAGGGCCCCCTGCTGGTCAGGGCCCCTGGAATTGTCATCACTTTTCACCCCTTTACCACGCCCCTGCTTGGGAGTGTGACCAAAGATCATTTGATTCTTTTTAATATCTTGTGGTACTTTGAATATATCTTGATGCCTCTGTATCAAAGATCCCATTGCTTTTAGGAGAGGAACCGGACCACAGCATCACAAATGAGTTGCTTTTTCACATTTTCACACCAATTCTGCTTAATCAAACCGTTCCAGCTTAATTAGCAGAGTTCAGCAAACTCTAAGAATGGGACAATTTTAGTAAGATGTGATACTGCAGTAAACAGATTAATCTATTTGCTTGTTAGCCAATGATAAAGGTGATGCTATTCCAGTTCATTTATGTTAAAACATTGCTCAATAATCCTAAAACAAATCTGTATAACCTTATGTGAAAATTATTCCTTCCACAAGATCATCTTTCATATGTTGGATTTGAAATGAGTCAGTGAACAAACCTAAACTGAACGTGTTTAATTTAGCCTGTATTTGTCTACATTATCAGTCAAACAGATGCCAGGGTTGTCCTTTTGCTGAGCTCTTCCACTGACTACATGTACACTTGTTGTGGAAATTGTTTATTACAGAAAATGTCACACTCACTCCCCGTCTGTCATTTAACAGGCTGTGGTGCTGAGTTGCCATGACAATAATGTTAACAACAGGGAAGAAAACCACTTTAAAGCACATTCATGTACACGCACACACACGCGCGCGCACACACACGTGGACACGCACACACATGCACATGCACACTCACACAAACACATATGCTGTGAGTAAGCTCCACCCACACACTGTATTTTAAGCACTAAAACACTTTGCTAATGAAAACATTAAAAATTGAATGCTGGGGTGAAGTTTGGGTTGAAACTAAAATAACATCTGCTTAGGCGTGACCTTTGACCTTTATGTGTGTTCTGCAGTGTTTTGACTCACCACACGGTCCTTTGTGCTGGATGCGGATGTCCTTCTGCAGAGTGCAACCCATCGCTCGCATCTCGCAGGGGCTTCGGTAGCTCTGGCCGTCAGACCCGCAGACGGGGTCAGAGATCAGGGTGCAGGCCTCGGTGCACTCACAGACCGGCTTGTCGTTCTTCACCACACACATGGCGCCGTGTGTGCATGTCTTCATCAAACAGGGGCTCGGAGCATCTAGATCTGAAGCCCCAGCGGGCCGAGAAAGATCAGAGTTAGAGGGCGGAGAATGTAAAAGGGAAAGAGAGGAGGTTGGAGAAAGGTGAGTAATAGGTTAAAGTTCAGCTCCATGGAGTTATTGTGTGTTAATAAGGGGACAGGGGAGGACCACAAGACTAAAGAAATATGCAGTACAGACATAGTTCAGTGACACCTCTTGCTTTCTTGTGTCATTGCCTCACTTTTGCTCCTCTAACACTTCCTGAATCTTCTTAAGAGTACACCAAACTCAGCGGATATAAACATGGCCTTCAGCACAATGCACATGAAACAGACCACTAACAATAGTTGCACAGTGAAACATTTTTTTTAAAACACATAAAAGGCTGGATTAATTGACGCTCCCTGCTGAGCTCCATCTGTGTCGCAGCGAGAGCTGACTCTTCGGCCAAAGCTTGCCGAACTGACACAGTGGCCAAAGGAGGGGAGGGAGAGAGAGTTTTCACAAACGAGACAGAGAAAAACGTGGAAGAGAGAGAGAAAAAAGAAATAGGCATGAAGAAGAAACCCCAAACTAATTAAAAATTGATGAGAAAGCCAAGCTCCCAGGTAAAGGAAATATGAAATGTGAACATCAGAGAGAGCTGCCTGCATCATTCTCTGCCACTCTCACACCAACTCCAGCTTCATTAAACCAATGCTGGATTTGGTGCCATGGTGGGTGTGGGCTGGGCTCATATAACACAACTTCACCAGGAGAGAGCAGAAAGTTAAAAAAAACAAAAAACAAAAAAAAACAACAACAATGCTTTGAACAGATCCACTTCTTGTCCAGCCAATTCTTTAAAGCTTTCTGTGTTTGTGAGGCAGGTGTGATCTAAAGATTAAAAATGAGCTTTTCAGGTGGAAGGCATGTGTTAATGACCAGACGTTGTCTAAATGTGGTTGGACTGATACCGGGTCAATTAGCTGAGGACGCCGTCTACAAGCCTCAAAGTGAAACATGAGAATTCTGAGGACCAGAGAATTCTTGGACTGGTCCTCCACAAACGGACCGGGCCAACAGTGAGCCAGGACCAGAACCTCACTGCCAGGCTGCAGACAACCAATCAGTAAACAGGCAGAAATGCACAGAGGAATGGGCTCAAGATCAAAGTTTAACCCTCTAATGGACAAGTGACCCCCTTACCTGAAGTCATTTCAATAAAAACACTCTTTGGTGTGGCTGCTGTTACCAAGCAGAGAAGCATCAAAGATTGTTATTTTCAGAGCAAAACTCTCTGGGTCATTCTGAATTTTTAACATCAATCTGTTAAGAAACATAATCTGTTAATGTGGTGCAGCTGTACACCTGCTTATATAAAACTAAAATAATCTTATTTATTAATCCAGGACTTAATCATATTCACATTCCATTATGTCTTTTATTAATGCTCTTCTTTACCTTGACCTTCTTTTAGAGGTTGTGAGGTGGTGAGGTCATTAAGGGAGGGTATCCAACTTTATGAGCTTTAAATCATGTTGTAGCATTATTCCCTCATCAAAAACACAGCTGCCGTGTTTCTTTGATTCTTTCATGTTTGAAAAATCTTTGAATCTCCCGTGGCAACCACTCAGGACACCTAAATGTTTAACTACACAAAGCACCACCTAGTTACGTTCAGCTCCTGCAGACTAGTGTCAGCTGGTGGAACTGCTCATCTGTTACCTCTCAGTCCAATGCTGCTAAAGGCATAAACAACTTCTGAATGATCTCCTCAGCTGTCATGATGACATCAGTTTCCTCCACTGACTTACATGTGCGTACTGTCAGGATGACAGTTTTGGGTTTAAGCTACAGAAATGTGGATATCTCTGTAAAACAAACCTTTATGTCAAAACACTTTAATGGTAAACATTTTAGTCTTTTCCAAAATCTTTTCAACTTAAATTTGATTCTGGAGCTGAGCAGCATATGTCTTTCATAAATAATCTTTGGTTTAGTAGTTTTTTTGTTCTCCTATTTGACTTTAATGAAGGGAATTACAACTATAAACTGTAGAAAAACACCTACACAGTAAAAGCTGCTTGGTTGGAAGTTAAATCTCCATCTGGTTACGTGAATGTCTGTTTTCCTGTCAAACTACAAAGTATTTCTCCTCTAACTGGTTCGCCTGATGTTCCTGTCTTGTGAAACACTTTGAATTATGGATTATAAATGGGGCCCAACAAAGAAACCTTTCTATGAAGATAATTTTGTCTCGTGCTGTATTAATATATCTCTTAAGTAATCGACACATCTGACCAGCGTTCATATTCTGAAGAAAAAAGCCGACATACATTTACTACCGATCACCAAAGCTGATGAAAATTCACAGCTAAAACCTTAAAACCCTGTTCTCTCTCAACTCTAACTTTGGTTTGGGATTTGGGTCGACGAATGACGGCGCTGTCATGGAAACTGGCCGCTGTAATGGCGCCACCCATGGCTCCATCATTATTGTGACCATTATAGCATTAGATGGCATCGGAGGGGGCCGACTTCACAGCCTCATGATTCATTTACCCGCTCTGAGATATTCAGTGGAGCCGTGGCGAAGAGGGAAATTATCAAGTGATAACTCAGACAATTAGCCAGTTTCACTCTGATTAAGGCAATAGGAGCTGAAGGGGAACCAGCGTGGCTTGAGATAATAATCGATATCAGCGAAACCGTTCATCTGGATCGCTGATGAGTTGGAGCGTAGGTGTAGATATTAAAACAACAAAAAGGAAGAGGGAAATGGAAGATTCTCCTGGCAGCGGCTGACCGACGATCTGGTTACTGAAGTAAGTTCAGATCAGCAGGCCCATAACCGCCATTGATTTTGGCGTCTTGACGCCAACTCAGAGCTTGGCAGCGCCACGTAAATACAAACCGGATTCCAAAAAAGTTGGGACACTAAACAAATTGTAAATAAAAACTGAATGCAATGATGTGAAGGTGCCCAC